GGATGATTTCTCTTGCTGCACAGAAGTTTATATCAGATATTGCTAATGATGCTCTGCAGCACTGTAAGATGAGGGGGTCAGGCCAGAGTTCAAGAAAATCTGGCAAAGTAAGTTCTGTAACGATTTTAATTTATGCACTTATTCTTAGTTTATTCATACTAATTAAGTCAACATACAAAGTGTTACTCCTTTATCTGCTTGCAGAAGGCTTTTGTGAGGCAGTTGATGGATCACAACTTGCTTGATTTTGTGACTGACATTATCTGGTTGTGAATACATCTTTCTCATCAACAAGTAATTAATTGGAAAACAGATGAATTCACAACAAACACAATTTACTTCTTGAGAAAATCAAGAAAAATTTGTTTGTATTTTGCAGGACAAGCGTTATACATTAACCATGGAAGACTTGACCCCAGCACTTAGTGAATATGGAATAACTGCCAGAAAACCTCCATACTTTATTTAATGAAACTTTATCATACCCATGTAAATATGGTAAATTGACTATTAATGAACTGTAGACTTCTCTTTGTTGAATGGAAAGAAATTTATAGGCAATAAAGTGCATTTTGTAATGTTAGTGATGTTGGGTACAGGGACATGACATTACTTGACAATTAATTCCACACCCTTGGACAAAAATCTGTCTTGGAGTCAACCCTTTATGTTTTTCAAGAGGATTCAGGATTTGAACATTGAAATATTGTAAGAATAAAGGCTTGCTTTTTAGAATCAGTAAGGGAATAAGCCCCAAGCAGGGTGGAGCAATGAGCAGACTTGAGCCAGAAATTTACAACCTTCAGCAAGAATGCTCTTCTAAATAATTAAAAACATTTAAAAATCAAATTTTACTTGCTAATTCCAGGAAGAGAGATATCTCTCAGGGGAAATAGGACTACCTTTTCCCTCTTTACACCCTGACAGTTTGACAATCAACACCTTATATAGTTGGATATCATTTCCTTTATTCTCCTGACCTTGATGTATAATTTCGGAGTTGTTACCAGGATTTTTCAAAGAGGGGAACTTACACTGTGTCAAATAGAGGGTGCCCACCAGATTGTCATGTTGATCCCCATACCATGTCTGACAAAAAGGCTTGCATACTAAGGGAGGTCATGGGCACCCCAGGACCCCCCTCCCAACTACAGCCTTGGATTAAGGGGTGATATTGTAAGGAGAAATTAGATGCTAGTCATTCTCACAGGTAGAAATAATTAATGGCAAGGATCAGATGTTTTCAATTCATTTGCCACAACTTGATACATGCATTGTACTTTTAGTATGTCTTTGGTTGCATATTTCACCTTCTAGAAAAAAAACGTTCATATCAACTGAAAAGTTTGTACCATGGTCAGTCCCTACTCACCCACCCACCCTTGTTCTTTTTTTTCTTCTTTCTCTGTCTGGGCCGGAGGAAACTGGAACCGTTTGTTTTTATTCGCCCCAGTCCTCCTGCAGCAAATTTCGAAGGAGTAAGATGACAAAAATTAAATCGGTTGCTCGGCTCGAAGGGGGTTCCATCTGAATCTCTCGCATGGGAGAATCAAAGCCTGATACCGCTGAAAGCAACAAACAAGGCTGCAAAAATGGTCAAACATGGTCTTCGTTGTCATATCTCAAACGGCGCGAGTTATTCGGGATTGCTGAGCGAAGCGACATTGTTTCTTCAAAATATTACAAACATTTTGCCTTAAGGAAGATTTGGGATCCAGAAGATAAACCAAATGACGATGTACATGGAGCCATTTTCAATGTGGAATTTTCACCTAGTGGCGATCTTCTTGTCGCGGCGTGCGAAAAACACAGCTTGCTTTTCTTTGATCCTCTTAGCCAACGGTTAGTGAAGACTATACGGTCGGCTCATGGCGATTGCGTAAATTGTGTGCGTTTTCTGGACACCAGGATCTTTGTAACATGTTCTGATGATACCACTATAGCTCTTTGGGACTCTAGGAATCTAAAAAGTAAGGTTCTTAGCTTAGAAGGGCACTCGAATTGGGTCAAAAGTGTTGAATACCACCGACCATCCGGCCTTCTTGTGACGTCGGCATTCGATGATACCGTGAGGACATGGGACATAAACAGGTACTCCAGTGGAGATGGAGTGAGTAATCAAAACAACAAGATTGTTCTTCAGTTTTCCAATTTAATTCGAATGAAACTGTGCCCCGATGGATCCAAAATGATCATCTCGGCCATTCCTGGCAACTTACTGGTACTGCATAATTTAAACCTCGATTACTTACAGTATGACATCGAAGGAGAAGAGTATCCATTCTGGAGTGCCTCGGAATCTTCACTCGTCAGCTATGCTAGTCATCGATGGCCAAGTAAGGAGCGTAACGCCCTGGAGATGGTTCAAGATTTCCCAGATGAATGTTTGCCCTGGTGTATTTCATCTTTAGAAGTTCATCCTCATGGCTGGTGTACTCTTGCACGATACACATGCAAGAAATCAAGAAATGAGTGGACTGTTCTTCATGACATTCAGGATGTCGCTGATATGAGGGATGGTTAGTATTGAAAACTTAACAATTTTGTATGTTATTCGCACCCTAAGAAAAATTTTCCCCTTTTTCAATCCCTCAGCCCTTGCCCTCCCTAGCTATGGAAATTATTTTATAGTATAAACATCAGTGTTTAACAGAGATTCCAGCCCTGAGAAAAGGGATTAACTGCACAAGTGTAAAATTGTGATCATAATTCTTTGATATTTCTAATAAGCTGCTGATACATCACTTACCTTTCAATTGCCATGTTATCAGGTTCATGAATGACAAGCATTTATGGTCAGTAAAGGCCTATGGAGTTTATAGCAGAGCTGGCAGAGCATAGCCCCATAATTATACAAAATAGTAGTGACCCATTAAGCCGAAAAAATTTGGATGTACGACCGTACGACCATACGACTGTACAAGGTGCTACTTTAACATGCGAGGTTAACTATACTGTGGGCACCCCAACACCACAGCTTTGTTCAATAGTCCAGTGGTCAGTGCAGTGGGCTCTGAGTCGGACGACCCAGGTTCTAGTCCTTGCCAGGGCAGGGTGTTTTGCCCTTGAAACATGTGGGGAAAAAAATGCAAGCTCCACTTTTAGGCTTGGCTAAATCTATATATTATGATAAACAAAATGACACATGGATGCTTTTAGATGTACGAATTTCTCTTCTCGTGTTCAACTTGAAAAGAAATTCCATAGCTATGCATGCCCATGTATTTTTCTCTTTGTGTCACTCATACAAGATATCCTACACGTTTATTTATTTAACATATTAATATTATTATTAACTTCTATTGTAGATGAAGACAATGAAACTCCTTCACGTCGCCTCACCTACAGTATTAAGGAACCCAATGTAGCCAGGGGTTACATAAAAGAACATTGTTTTAGCAGTGATGGAAGAATCATTTGTTCACCATTTGGCAATTCTGCCAGAATCCTTGGTTTTAGTAAACATTGTGAAGAACTGGCAACTTGTGTTCAGGAGACACCTTCAGAGCTGTGCGATTTAAAAACACTTATCAGTCATAAACATGCTGTGGTGACTTGTAGGTTTTCGCCAACTCACTCTCTTCTCTCTTTGGGTTGTTTAGGTGGCAAAGTAAGCTTTTACCAACCTAAACTTTGAAGCTACTGAGCTTGAAGATATTCCTCTTGTTATTTGTGTGTTGGAAAATATGTAAGAACATTGCTTGGAATAAAAATCTTCCATTGAGCTACCTTAAAATGATTGTGTACTGTTAAATTTCTGAATCAATGTATAGACCTAACAGTCAAGAATAATAAAAGGAAAAGGCATTTCTAACCCTTTCTGATATCTCATTAGAGATTCTCCATACTGTCTGCTATATAATTCTTAAAATGTTAGTTTGGAGAATTTGATATCAAATCAACTTAATAATCACTTATTTTGTTTATTGTTATTATCTCATCACATATCTGCTTGATATTGTGTTGATATTGTAAAGAGAAATTCTATCTTGGCTACTCATTGGTTAATTTTATTGCAATAACCTTTAAATTCAATTTTCTTGAGGACTTCAGACCAGGATCATTCGGAGCTGAATTTATCAGACATTTTTTCTGTTTCTAAAGTTTGTCCTACATGTCATGACACAATCTGCCTATGGTGACAGAAGTGAAAAGGCTCCAAAATAGGCTTTTTTATCCAAATTCTGAAAGGCAAAAGGCGCCAGATGAAAGGCAAACAAAATCATGAGAATTTTTTTACTCTTTACATGCAATATCTTTAAGTGAGCGCTTACGTACTACGGGCCTATCTTTTTTCTCCCGGCTCCAGGGCTCCTCATTGCACAGCTGATTTAATTATAATTAGCCAATCAGCGTCAAACAAAGGAATACCCCTTTGGGATCCGCTGACCTGACCGCCCACTTACAAATCAAGAAATCTTTTAACTCACGCCGCAAGTAAACACAACTTACTAATTCCTGCGCCCCTTCAGACGAGGTTAGTTTGATTATTCACAACTCTGAGAAATGACCACTATCAAAGCCATTTGCTGTATAGGTGCTGGATATGTTGGCGGCCCGACTTGCAGTGTCATCGCGTTAAAATGCCCGGAGATCAAAGTAACTGTAGTCGATTTAAGTAAGCCGCGAATTGACTCATGGAATTCGGAGAAGTTACCGATCTTCGAGGTAAGTGAGCGAACTATATTTAATTTTGGATGCTGTGGGTGAATTTTTACGTCTTATGAATAATTTTTTTTTCCTGTTCTGATTCGTTTTCACAGCCCGGTCTTGATGATATTGTAAAGAAGTGTCGTGGCAAAAACCTGTTCTTTTCAACAGATATCGACAGCGCCATTCGTGAAGCTGATTTAATATTCATCTGTGTGAGTATTGATCGATAAAAATCGCTTATATGCGAGTATCCATTCATTCATTTGAAACACTAATTGTCATTTCGGCAAGATATGAGCCTGGCTTCTTTGGCCGAACAAATTAATTAATCGAACTCAGTTCTTCCTAGTAATATAATGTCTCCATTCATTTGATACGTTTTAGGTTAATACTCCAACGAAAACCTTCGGATTGGGAAAGGTAAGCTTTTCAAAGATATGAACTTCTTTCATTCAAAAATTAAGTTGTTACAGATTAAAATAATAGCTTCGTATAGACAAAATGTTTTGTTTCAACACTAATTTTTTGATGTGAATTAAATATTCATGTAATTTTATTACGTGGTCAAGTATTAGGAGAGTTTCCTTGTGCCGTATATTTCTTCAAGTACCAGAGATTGCTCTATTCTCTGAATTTTTCCGCCACAAATTCTGTCGCCATATAAATAAAGACTGGTTTCGTGGAAACGATATCTTTCAATGAATAAAAACATTGCATGATTAGCGGTGGCCTGCAAAGTAATTGTAGTCGACTGACAAAAAAAACATCAATTGGTCGACAACTGATAAAGTTGGTTTATATTGTTATGTAAAGTTTCCAATGAGGGTATTGTACTTTATGTAGATTGGAGTCAAATGTTTGAACTTTCAAGAATGCTTTGCTATTGTTGTCACTTCTCTGAACAGCTAAATAAATACAAAACATTCTCAGTTGCTGGCGCCATGGTCGAGTGGCTTCCGGAATCGAATATATTAATTTAAAATAAAAGCTGTTTGGTTGATGCTAAGATGTTTGTCACTGGACATACATTACATTGTGTCTTTTTGGAGATACTGAAAAGAAAAAAGATAGATGCATCTTTACTTTATGGCCCTTAAGAAAAATTTGATTATAACCTTGAGCGATCTAATTCAAAACTAAAAACTAAAGAGTATTCAATTCAGAGTTCCTATCGAAGGTACTAAGAGCCCTGTCGTGATTTTGAGAATTTGCATACTAATTTGTTGTTTTGTTCAATTTATTGCCAAAACAATTCTTTATGATTGCTTTTCTTTTTTTCTTTTTTTTTTTGGAAGAAGGAAAATTTGCTAGAATGTCAATAAATTGTATTTGCATATAGTACTTGTAATACTTGGTTATGGCAAGATTTTCCCATCCATTTATAGTTGCACTCTTTGGATAAGATATTTTTGTTTTTCATGATACTGACTTGTTCATTTTCTTGATGATGTAATATTACCGGAAGCAATGATCTATTCATGACAGTTCAAGAGAACTGATTCACTTTGTATTAATATAACCCTTTAACCCATTTATATATATTTTTCACATATGATCACAAACTGAAGAAGCTCTTGATTGTTGTACAAATTCTGCTTGTTAGCACCTTAGAAAATGAATGGAAAATATGTAAACTGATGTTAGGGTGCTAAGGAGATTTGATCAGTAAAAGGAATTTGAAAAATTACCTTCTTAATAAACACTTTTTCTAACAAAAAGCAATATTCACTTCTCACTTATCCATGAATTGTGCATAAGGGCCGTGCTCCAGATTTGAAGTACATAGAATCTGCGGCAAGACACATTGCAGAGATTGCTGATGGAGAGAAGATTGTTGTGGAAAAGAGCACAGTACCTGTTAGGGCTGCTGAGAGGTAATAAGAACTACTACTATATTCATACTTGTTACTAAAGGTCAGCACACACAAGGGCACTAATCTCCAGTTGTATTTACATGCAGGAACCAATTGCATAGGGAAATAGCAAAAGCTGGGGGGCAAACAGTATCGTTCTTTCACTCTGCGGCTTTCCTAAGAAACCAAAATGAAAATAGCAATCAGCTTAGTACAAACCACAGATTTTTCAGTAAAATTATTCAGTGCTTGAATTGTTTCTGATTCAGTGCGGATGTAAGCGGAAAATAACACTTTGTTATCGATCAGATGTGGCCAATGCAGAAACAAAAGCACTTTATTTCTCAAACTTTGGAATTGGGGAGGTAGTACTTTGTTGGTTTTGCTTTTATTGCTATTATCTTCATGATTTTTTTCCGAGAGTTGTTGACTTTTTTTGTAAAAGTCGATCAGCATTCTGGTGGAAGTGACACTTCTAGCATCATCATCCTCAGGATCCGCCATCTTGAAACAGAGTTTGTAACGAGTTGTGAGAGCTAGTGATACCGATCTATGATTGGTATATTTTAAGTTGGTCGCTGGGACTTGTCCCACAAACAGTTCACACAAAGCATTTCAAGGAACAAGTTGCAAGGACTTGTCCTAAAAATTCAAACTAGTTTGAATTTGTGAGACTGATGACAGGGACCAAATTTTAGTCTCTGCGACTAGATTTTGTGGCAAAAATGGGTAGTGCACACAATGAGACTTGTCCCTGTGACTTGTTGTTATCTCTGGGTTCAATTAGAGGAGGAACATTTCAATTCCAACAAACTTTTTAATTTAGCAAGCCATATGGTGAAATACAGTCCGTTAAACTTACCAATCGTAGTGCATGGACTAAATGAGAGATATAATTAAAGGAATTCTCTGGTGGGTGTTTTATAAATATGTATGTATTCAGACCAAGGTACCTGATTGTTGAGTACTATGGTGGGAATGGAGAAAAAGACACAGTTATCAGATAATTAAACTTTTTTTCCTTAGTATTACAAGAATTTTTGATGCAAATGGAAGTAGAGGAAAATTCCAGGTTTGATTTGAACTTCTTAGCTTGTCATCAAATTGTTTTCATAGATTATAATACTAACAATAACAATGGTTGATAATGATGATGATAATGGTGATAATGATGATGATGATAAAGATGAAGCTGTTCATTATTTTCTGATAATAGTTATAGTAATGACAATGAAGATAATGAAAGTGAAAGTGAGAGTGAGAGTCGAAGGATGGTGAGAATTAATATGACGGTGATGATAATACTGAGATGTATTTGAACAAAAACTGTTAAGAAGAAAATGCCTCCCCTTCCTTGTAGGTTTTATCCAATCCAGAGTTTTTGGCTGAGGGTACAGCTATCAAAGACTTGATGGAACCTGATAGAGTTCTGATTGGTTAGTATAATTACACTTCCATTACTATTTTGATTGATTTACCTTGTACATAGTTCAACTCCTGTTTATTTGACCTTTGATAATCAGCGTCATGATGATTGAGGTTTTTTTTTAATACATGAATTCCTCACTCTGTTTTCTAGGAGGTGAACAAACTAGGGAAGGATACAAAGCAATCGAAGCCTTGTCATCAGTTTATGAACACTGGATTCCCAAAGAAAATGTTATCAAGACCAACACATGGTCATCTGAGCTTTCAAAGCTGGTGGGTAATTTTGTGTCCTAATTGCACTACATGTATGAGTGTTAATGGGCAAAATGTTTCGTTGAAATGAAAAAACAAGTGGACATTGTTCCTTGCAGGCAGCCAACGCTTTTCTAGCCCAGCGAATCTCCAGTATCAATGCCATGAGTGCCATTTGTGAAGCAACTGGTGCAAATGTGTCTGAAGTGGCAAGTGCAATTGGACGAGACACAAGGATAGGAAGACACTTTTTGCAAGCCTCTGTTGGTAAGATCTAATGAACAACTACATTTTTTAACTTGGGATATTACGTCTCTAGTGTTCTGATTGGTTCTCTCAGCTTGGGTTATCAGCTCATATTCCAAGTCACCTTGTATGCAACATTTTGGAAGCGTACAATTTTTTGCTGAAATATTCAAAAGTTCAGGAATAAATGAAATTTAATAAAACAATTATGCCATTCACGCTTGTTGGATAGGAGATTGGTTATTGCCAACTTGCCACTATTGCACCTCATCACCTAGTTACCATCTCATATCCAGTGCATGCTTGTGGAATAATTGTTAGATAACTGAGATACTATGAACATCCCATAGTTATTTTATAAATTGTAATAGACCACACTTTATGTGAGTTTACGAGTGTAATAACCATGTGGGACGTAATGACAGAACACTTCAAATGTTTGTAAATCACAAGCCAGAGGTGAGAGTATTTTTTTTTTTTTTTTTTTTTTTAATGATAGGTTTTGGTGGAAGCTGTTTCCAGAAGGATGTTCTCAATCTTGTTTACCTTTCTGAGGCACTGAACTTGCCTGAAGTTGCAAACTATTGGTACCAAGTAATTGCCATGAATGAGTATCAACGACGGCGATTTGCAAGTAGAATTGTGAATTGCCTGTTCAACACAGTGACAGACAAGAAGATTGCACTGCTTGGATTTGCCTTCAAGAAGAATACTGGAGACACTAGGTAAGCCATATAACTATGTCATGTACATTTCCTGACTGCCCTGACTGGTTACATTTAATTGACAAGGCTGATTATAGACTGAGAAAGTCAGTGCTTAGCTTTGTTGATTTTTTTCATTGACAGAGAATCAGCCAGCATTTATATCTGCAAATATCTGATGGAGGAAGGGGCAAGGATAACCGTTTATGATCCCAAAGTCGAAAAAGATCAAATCATGTTGTAAGTGTGATAAAATTTCTCTTTAATAATTCACGCAGTTTTCATCATTTGCTCCTATGTTAGTAGAATTTACAATCTTACCGACTTATTTTAGATTTTGATAAATGATTGTATTACTGTTATTTTTGCAGGGAGTTGACCCAGCCTTCTATTTCAGAAGATCCAGAAAGAGGTACCAATTTTTTTTACCAGTTTCATTATTCAGCATTATTTCATGGAATTTAATGAATAAATAAGCAGAAACATTAGAACTTTGTAGAGGCACTGCTATGAGGTGGCTCCTCGTCCATTGTTTCCATGTTTAATTGGAAGTTGGGGTATGTGATCTTATCCTTTTCACATGCAGATGCATCAACATCACTCTGATCCCAACAGTATGCAGGACACTTGTTACATCTTAACCCCTCGACCTTTTGTGATTAGCATCTAATTTCTCCTTACAATATCACCCCTGAATCAAACATTATGGTCACAAGAATAAAGGAAATGATCACCAGCCAAATGAGCTCTTGATTTTTAAACAAATTCTCCCTGTCTGCTACCTTAGCAAATGTAAGGACAACAGTTTGGAGAATATGCATACTGATGTGAGGGTATAAAAAACTTACATAGTAATGGCCTAGTGTTCTCTGCTGCTCAGTGGTAGAGCATCAGAGAAAAAACTGCAAAGATCTGGAGTTTTATTCTTCATGAGGCCCCATGCATGGGGCAAAACAAATAACAGCTTTCTTTATTAATTTTTTTTTCTCTCCCCAGTGGAACGTCTGATTACAATTGCTGATGATCCCTACAAGGCAGTTAAGGATGCACATGCTCTTGTTGTTTGCACCGAGTGGGATGAATTCAAGGTTTGTGTTTTCTTATTTTCTAGATTCTTCATTACAAGCCTGAAATTATATTTTCGTGTGGCTCCAAATGGTTTGCTGTCTCAGACACCCGTTCTATATTGATTGTTAGGACTAAAGTATGTCTAGTGTTTCCCAGAATGGGCATAAAATAGTCCCCAAAAAATTGCTCACAAAACAAGATATGTACATTTTTACTTAGGTTACTATGGCATCACAACAGTCTGTTATAAAAAATACCCTTCAGTTGAGCTTGAAAACTAATTCAACGCAAGGGATTCCGAAATGCCTATTGATGTTGCTTTCAACGTACAAAGTCTGATGCACAGTCATCATTTCTTAAAGTTTTCAGGCAAACCGCAATCGCGCGTGAATAAAATGATGTCCCTTTTTCCCGCTTTTGCTACACCTCTCGCGCGTGACTCACCCCTCGTGCTTCCTCGCGCTTGTCTCTTATCTCATACCCAGATCCCTCTCTAGTGGGCGATCTAGCTTGCCTCCGTTCGTCTGAAAAATGAAAACAACACCTGTCAAGCAAAGCCATGTTAACATGCTATTGTTTGTACTCCTTCATTTCCACAGACGTACGATTACAAGCGTATATACGACAGCATGCTGAAACCAGCGTTTGCCTTTGATGGCCGAATGATTCTGGATCACTGTCACCTACATGAAATTGGTTTCCAAGTCGAGACGATTGGAAAAGTTGTATCATCTGGGTACATGCTACCACTGACTCCCCCAATAGCTCCCCCTAAGGAGGAGAAATGAACTGATCCCTCTGGGGAGAAGTTGAGGACTTAATGTGTATCTAACAGTAACAGTAAACGTAAACGTATTTGTTATTTTTAAATTATTATTTACCATTATTTAGAATGTCACTGGAATCAGTAGAATTTGCACCGTACTCCAAACTACATTCTTTATTTTTAAGAAATTGACCTTTGGGGGCAGCTGGCAAACTCAAACTCTCGAGAAAATTGTAACTGGACACCAAAGCACTACAATAAGTGGCTCATTGCCCAAGCGAAACAGAGTTTGAAGATGGAAATTTCGGAAGGGATGTTACACTGCGAGAATGTATTCGTATTTCTGCGCACCGAAGACAATCCAAACATTTTCCTGCTCTGCTGTATCTTGAAATATTCAAGTAGCTCTTAAAATTAAGATTTGAAAGCGGAATGCATTTTTACTCTTTATTCGTTGTAAAACAGAGAATTTTCTGTACAAGGATAAACTTAATAACTTAATTCAAAGTACGCAGATCACAAGACGATAAAAATATTTTGAGTGTACTTAGCTTAGAGTATATTTTTTAAAGATCATGTACTTCGAGCAATATTGGAAATAATATTTTTGGCGAATGAAAACAATGTTATTGTTCTCCTGCTTATGAAGAGATATCGTCGAGACTTGTGGTGTAGCAAGGCGTTGTACAATTCATAAAGGTATTAAAATGAAATTCACTCACCTTATCATTCCTTGGTTAAATATGTAAACGAGGTATTTAAGTTTGACCGAATTTTTCCAATTCAAGAGGACTGGTCTGTAGAATTACTGCAAAAGTTTGAAGAAAAGATGGCGAAGTGCTTTGTTCCGGGTTAGCCCAGGTCTTAATAAGGTTATTCTTTGAAGATGGCTTACCTGCCTTAAACATTGACTACTGTTTAGCGTTTGCGTGTAAACGCTTCCCAACATTCGACTCCAGAAGAGTGAAGTGATTAATTAAACCTCGGCTCAAAAGCAACTTGAACCCGTTGCCTAGGAAAACATTTAACTGTGAAATGTAAAAACAGCATGCACGATTAAATTAATAAATTAATAAATTATGTATTTTGTAATCAGTTCAATTTCTTGGGCAAGACTTCCTCACCTGTCAATACAGCAGCGTTTGAACTTGAAGATGCCTTTCTCTTCAATCCTTCGCAGTGTTTCGCTCTTCTTGATACTTTCTTTGCTGAAAATCTCAGAAGGAGAAGGTAAGAAACTCAAAAGTCGTTTTGATTTTTCGAAAGTTTCATCGATTTTAAATTACCCCGAAGTTTAGATTTTCTTAATTTTCGAAATCAAACTGAACAAAGTAAGTTTGTTTTGTGAAATGTCTCCACTTGCAAACACAATTCTACTCTCAGCGCGAAAAATATCCATAAATTTATGCGATTTTGAAGTTAATTTTGCTACTTTTCGTTTGATATAAGTAACATTTCATAAATTTTTTCATTTTCATCTACACCTATATAAAGTCATTAATTTTTCATTACAAACAGATGTTTGTGAAACACTTTTATCCACTAGTGAAACACACTCTTCATTCAAGATTTGCCGAATTTCTAATATTTTCATATTGGATTTATGGAGAGGAAGATAGAACAGAAACCTATATGAGTTTTCAATCCAACCGAGAAATGATAAACTCGTGAAGAATGAATACGTTATTTCAAATCGTTTAACAACTCTGAGAAATAGCATAGTTTTGAAAATAGAGACCGAAAATTAATAACTTGTTTACAGATTGCCGCGTGTTAAGGCATAAATATCCTAAAAATGAAGTAGTCCTTCTTGGTCACCTGCTCAAAAACATCACTGTGAAAATAGACAGCATTTGCCTGACACAGTGCTTTAAAGAAGCAAATTGCATGTCCTTCAACCTTGGTCCTCTTGTGGACGGAAATCACGAGTGCGAGCTGAGCAATTCGGATCACGTGATGCACCCCAATGATCTCGAGCATCGCGCAGGATTTGTCTACCAGTCATTTGAGGTAAGCAGTACAGTTAAACTCCCCCTTTTTATTACAGGGAAAACGGACGGGGATTAGTCGTCGCTGACAGAATTGACAGCCGATGAGAGAGAGATCATTAGAATATTACAGAACCTCAGGGGGATCGGGTAAATTTCGTTGTGACACAACCAGAATACGCCGAAAAATAGTTTTTCTAACTTCAAAATTACGCTTTTGAGCAAGGTTTTAAATGCAGACGCTTTGTCTCATAAACTAAGAAAAAATGGAAAAATCCCATACACGTCCTTGGGGTTCATTTCATTTCTGGTATTATTTCCAAAGCTCGCGGAAAATGACTGAATGTCGGAGGAAAATAAACTCTTCAAAGTTAAGAACTGAAGCCGCCACAACGCTGTCAGTGAACAATATTTCCGTTCCGATGCAAACTGCGAAGAAATTTTCCTTTTTCCGGAACAGCAAAATAGACTTTTGTCGCTTTTGGACATGGTAACAACTTGATAACAACACTAGAATTACAAGAACAATTCCCTCTCTAGCTCTTGGAAAGAACCAAAGTGATAACGAATTAGCGATTTCTAACTGTTCAAAACCCTTCAGTGCGTCATTGTAGATCAATAATGGTTTTGTAATCGTTGATTAGTTGACGACAAGAAGTTGACATGGAATGTCGTCAATCTCACGCCTTCCGTTCTACTCTTAAATTAATCTTTGCTTTGTATCTCCTGACAGAAAACATAACGTAAAATTGAAATTTCAGAAATTAGGAGATCTTTGTTTTCTTTTCCATAAATGAAATCTTCAGGAAATTGAAAAAATATGACTTTTGTTCCTTCCGTGATACCTTAAGCAGAAGACTAACAGAATTTTATGGAGGAAACCGCTCGCGGTGGCCTGGGTACTAATAACATGATGACCGCTAACCGGAAACGGAGCCTAGCTATGCAATATTACGACATAGACTAATTTGAAAAGCAGTCTGATATACTGCTTTGGTCCTTGAGTACGTGCTCTTCACTTGCCAAACGACTTTTCAATCGAGCCTCTCTTGAGAAGACCATAACAAAACAAACACAAAAGAGATGCACCTATATTTTTTATATCGAAGGTGATTTTTTTCCTCCATATGTCATTGCAGAACGCTTGCCAAAGCCGTCCCTGTCCTGATGATACAGTTTGTCAAAACGGGTTCACAGAACAAGGATATCGCTGTATGCGAGGTACTCTTGTCTCTATTTCGGGATAAGGGAAAAATTTTTTTTGTCGTCTTGTCACCAACGTAGGACAAACACTGAGTTACCATGAGTAATGAGCCTCAGACATTAGGATTCTACACTCCGATGCGCTACCACGTGCACTGAGCTACAGAAACTCTCTTATGATGAGATGAGCCAGTATCAGGTACATATGCGATATGTGTCATGCACACTACCAGGATTAACAATGTCGACTGCGTTATGCGTCTAGATAGAGTGCGATTCTCCATGGGAACTCAGTAATGTTTTTTTCCCTCGCTCGTGATGAGACGACTAATCATCTTTCCCTAATTCTTTGCAGTACTCAAAATTTATCATCTTTCTTATTATTTATTAGAATTTCTTTATTTTTGTATCCTTTAGCTAAAGTCATGCAAGCAAGTTTTCTCATCGTAGATTTCCGTGGAAGGCGCACATAAAAAAAGACATAACAATTTTTTCAAAAACATTTTGTGGTTTAGGCAACTTTTAACGGATGTAAGTCGACTTTTGAACCGGGTTATAGGGGAATTCTTTCCCAAAAAGCTTATAGCTGGCGTACAGAACTTAAAGGAAAATGTAAATGCTTTGATCAATATAGGTTTGCGTATACGAAGCAATAATACAAAGTATATGTGACCTTTTTCAGGCCTTCTTCCTTCTGTGACAATTACACCTCAGACGAAAGTCACTAAGGAGGGAAGGAACGTGACATTCATATGTAACGTCACTGGACAGTTTAGCGCTAAAGTCACGTGGGACAGGCTCCAAGGAAGTTTGTTAGATTCGCGAAGCGTAATTGACGCGGTGGCGCTTACCATTTTAAACGTCAGCAAAAACGACACGGGTTCCTATGTGTGTACGGCCACAAGCATTATGGGAAGCAATTCATCAACTGCACGGCTTGAGGTGTATTCGGGTCTTAAGTTTATCAGCAGACTACCATCCTCTGTACTTTTGTACAACGGTCAGACGCGGAAGCTGTTTTGTTCCATCTCAAGTGACTTGGCAGTCAACGTTTCGTGGATGTTCAATGGAACATCATCGTTTTCTCAAGGCGTGATTTTTGACTCCTTCGACAAACTGATTGTTTTATCGGCCAATTTCAGTCATGAAGGAAATTACAGTTGCAATGCCATTGATAAAGTGAGCTACCTACAAGGCAATGTCGTTGTTCGTGTCAAGTACCCTGAAACCTGCACTAAAGTGAGGGCAAACATCAGTGACGTCAGTGGTAACTACGTCATCGATCCTGACGGCGAACTTGGCGAGGATCCTTTTTCAGTTTATTGTAACATGACTGACAAAGGAGGTGTTGGAGTGGCAGTTGTCAGTCACGACAGCGAGAAGAAAACCCACGTGAAAGGATTTGAGTTACCAGAGCACTATACACGTAAAGTACACTACATTGGTACCAGCCTCTTTCAATTAGCGGCTTTGACACAAGCTTCAGAGAAGTGTGAGCAATTCATTAAAGTCGAATGCCACGGAGCTACAATAAATGAAGCATACTGGTTGTCACGAGAGGGTGAAAAAATGAAGTACTGGGGAGGAGTTCCTCACGGGAAAGGGTGCGCATGCGGACTGACAAACTCCTGTGACGCTCCAAAACGGCATTGTAACTGTGCAACGAATGACTATGTTTGGCGGAAGGACAGCGGTCTTCTTACTAACAGGAGTCACCTTCCAGTCATTCAGCTGAACTTTGGTGATACGGGAGATAGCAATGAAGAACTCTTTTATACTCTGGGTAAACTGCGGTGCTATACTTCTGCCGGAATGACACCAAAGTGATATGATCGTGCACTGCAGGTCTAACACGCGAGAGCCTGTTAAACCATCCCAAAGAGGACTGGAATTGCACCTTTTGTACAAACGCGCTCGCCAGTCTTCACTAGCAAATGAGTTGCTTTGGGAGAGGCCGAGATAGTATTTCTGCCGACAAAAAAAATTGAAAAAAATTAGTCATAGAGAGGACGAGAAAACAGTGGGAAGCTCCAAATTTACTGATTCGCGTTTCGCCCAAATCACCACAGGAATCGCCACACCAATCGCTCTGACGAAGGGCTAACGCTTGAAACGTCAGCTTTTTTACTCTTTCCGGTGGCCAATTAACGTTTTCAAGTCAGTTGTTAACACTAAAATTACCTGCTCACCACAAGAAGCCCACTCAAAGGGTGTGATTGATTGAAAATTTGAATTTGGAGGATATGGTTGGAAATATCGAGAAGCTTTAGCCACGGAAATGGCAATATAGAAACATACTAGGAGAAATAACATTTATTTTGATGTTGAATATTCGTCAAAATTTATCTCGAGGCATGATAAGGAGCTTTCCGATATTTCCATTTATTTTTTTTTCAAGGTGCACGGTAACGAATCCTGCGATCTGATTGGTTCTTTACCCGGTCTGTATTTTCCTATCTCTGCCCACGGGCAACGGTAACGCTTTCGTGAGTCGCCGAGTACATGTCTACTTTCTTGCCATTTTTCATAAATATATCTCGTTTTCCGGCTGGGCAGTATTTTTGAGCAAAGACGTCGGTCACTACTTCAAGCCGATGAATAACTTATTAATCCTCTCTTTTCTCTCTCTCAAAATATTGGTTTCAGAATGAATTTGTATAAACAATAGTGTCATTACCTTGGTTGACAAGCGGCCTAAAAACCGTCTGCAATTAATTTTAATCGTTCACGGAAAGTACCTAGAAAGTTAAAACGTGAGGTATTTGCATTGGTTACAGTTGAAGTTATCGATGGAACTTTCATTTATTTAATATCTGAATTTTCTCAAACAATTTGTTCGTAGTGAAAGAGCGAGCGCAGTTTTAATTTTCAAGACCAAGGTCACAGTTTTTCACCATACGGACCGACCCTTAGCCGGTAAATAACATATTTATATTTTCTCTAAACTTCAATCGAAGTACAAGCCAATCTGACAATTGTGTGGGTACTCTGTGGTCAAACCGGTTCTTTACGAGCAAGAGTCTTAGGGAAAGGATCTGAGCCAGCGTGACTGCTGTTTTCGTGAAAACGCTTAAACACCCGCATGATTATAAAAAGGTTATCCTTCGCGGTGATTTAAGCCAAATAAAAGGCAACTCGAGGTTACTATGTGGCGCCAAGACAATTTTCAGTTTCGCTTCAAGTGCACATTGGTAACAATAAAGCCTAACGCTGTAATAAATTCTGCAGGCATCAGTCCGTTTTCGATACAAGAAGATAAAAACTTTTATACTAGAAATCCAAGATAGGGCCAAGCCAGTCCGATAAGAGTGAAAATCTTCTCTCATTATGAAGTGGAAACGATGCCAAAGTCTTGATGCCAAGGATTCAAATTTACATTTGGCTCTTGCGGCAGCGAGTGCAAGTACGTTTATCGAGATTTGAAGCAGGTGGGAAGTTTGGAGAGCACAGGAGATTCGTAAAGGGCATCTTCATCCGACTTACTTCACATCAATATCGAAAAAAATTGATCATTCTGGATTGATGTAAATATGTTTTATTTTACGTAAAGAATTTTACGGAACCTTTTCCAACAGAATTAACCTCGGATTAACCTTTAGGAAATATTATGGTAAATAATACTCGTAATTTCATAAGCTGTAGTTCCTCATTGATACGAGGAACTGGTTTCAAATTCAGCACAATAGCTTAGAACACATTTGACACACGAAAAACAAATGTAAATCACTCGGTAGATTTAGAGTTTTTTTTCCCTTAGCAGTATAATTTTGCAACTGATAAATAGACAAAAAAAACTTTGCGGCATCGTAATGTAAAAACGGCTAGATTAAATTGTTTGAAATTCAGTCAATAGTGATGCCTTACCCCTAAAATTAAAATCTTGTTCGAGGACTTTTTCGAAACTGTCCCCAAAAACTGTTTAATTGGATTTCCCCATAACGCCAGCATAACAATGACGATTGCCATACCACGCCCACCACTGCAACTTTGGCAAGATAATTTAAAATGTTTGTATTCTCTTACCTTTGGTCAACACAGGTGTGGAAATCATTTGAGCAAAAAGGAAAAACTGTATTCAGCCTCCCTAAATCTTTTTTTTTTCCGGACGAAGGTGTGTTGTGTGATTGGGTATATTCCGTGTCAAAACCAAAAGACAGTCGCCTAACTAAAAGATGCTCATTATAATATGAAAATGTGGTCTTTTGAACATGTTGAAGATCGCACTGTACTCCAAACGGGAAGAAAATTAATAACGTGAATTGATGAGTAGGCAATTTCCTGGTAGCACAATTCATGCGCTGTGAAGCGAAAGTTCAATTATATAAAGCCTTGATTATGAAAATGAAATTTCACTCTCTTCCAAATATAACTGCTTTACACAAGAAAGGTTTACGTTATCAAAGGGTGATCGATTCGTACCTGTCCTAACATTTAGTAACGACCAAACCTAGCTGAACACACGTTGATTATTGTGTACGACAAGTTAGTCAAGAGAGTAAGATTTCTGTTCCGTATACCAGTGATCTCCTTAAGACCTCCTAACATGATCAACTAAATTATTGCCTAGCAGAAGGTAAGTGTGACATTTCTAATAAAACAGTTTATTGTCTTTCCAAACATTTAGCTAATTAGTGTATCGTGCAAGTTCATTAGCGGTGATAAGAAATCGACCTTACTTCAAACATATTTAACAGGCAAAACATAGATTATTAGTTTCGGTATGGAGTGAGTCAACTGGCTGATTACGAATGATCTCAGCTGGGCACGAATCCACTGATTGTAAACGATTGTGCGTAAAACACGACTGGTAACCTATCAAAGAGAAGGTTTATAGGACTCGGAGTGGAACTATCGTGGTCTATTTGTGTATTTAAGTAATTATGTCTAATTAGCTCATGTTTCGACAAACGAATTCCGTTTCAAGCCGTAAATACAACTTGTTTTTCAGTTGGTGTAAATTGGTCTTATTTTCTATTTTCGAAGATTGGCAATTACTACGTGAACTTTTTCAATACTGCTGGCAAGAAAGGGTTTACTTTGCCCCTCCAACAATTCGATGCCTTACATGAATGAAACGGAAATAACATAATTTTCTGGTTTATAGGGAAAATTCAATGTCATACAACGAAATATTGAGTTGTTTGGACATCTGGTTAACAGCTTTAAGTTATTTGTGCTTAATAATTTGAGCGTCGATAATTGGATTACAAGACTTTAAAGAAGTGGGCCTTAATTATAAACATTATACATTGGCAAAGTTGAACTACTATCAAAAATTGATACACTTTCAACAGTTATGCTTACATAGTCAGAGCAGGTGATAATGTAAATTATTTACTGCTGCGACGGCGGAGAAAAAACTCAAACAAAGTGAGGATTTTATACTTTGTGTTCGAAACGGTATGAAAAACAAGTCTATGCAAGATTATGGAAACGTTTCAAGTTCTCTTTCTTATTGCAATCTTGGGTACAAATTGCTCGGCGTTGAACGAAGGTGAGCATTTAGGTGTTATTTAGGCACAGAATTGAGTACAAGTGGCCATACTCGACACCTGTGAATTACCTGATAGTCTTTTATCACTTTGTAGAAACGATATGTTGTCCTAGAAACCCACCATTGGGTACGAGTGGAAAAGATGTCACTTACTGCTATGACAAACATGCACGCAAACCCGATTGCAAGATTTTACATAATGGTTACTTCTGGGATGATTTAAATGAATCAGGACTGTATAATTGCCTCGACGCGTGTTTCTGTTTAAATTTTAGGTGACGTAAGTTCACTGAAAGATCTTCAGTTTCACATGAAGGATTTTATCTCAACTGGCCATGTGTTGTTTAAAGCGCATGCTCCTAGCGCCTGAATTCATTGTTGCCGTAAAAAATAACTCTCCTTCCCGCGAAATAATTCTCTTGAATTTGGGAAAATCCTCTTTTTTATGTAAGCCTGTTAGATCCTTAGGATTTCCGTCTGAGTCCGAGCGAAAAGAGATTTATGAAGGTCCAGAGCTGTGAAGTCAATCTAAATCTTTCAAACTCTTTCATCTTTCGTTCTACTTTTCCTATAATTTATTAGCTTTGCTTGGCGCGGGAATGGTGCGGTGATTTTTTTTTTTCATTCTTAGAGGAGTGTCGACAGGTGGAAATGGATCATTTGATCCACGACTTTTTCTTGGAGAATCACGTGATCAGGAGGCGGGAGATAATATCAGCTAGCGCCTGTGAAGTGAGTTGTTATATGGCGGCAGACTGTGTCTCTTACAACCTGAGACAGCCACAGGATCCAGATGGAGGGTATCTATGTGAACTGAACAATTCTACAAACGAAATTCATCCCTTTGATGTCAAATACGAAAAGGGAGCTGTCTATCAATCATTCATGGTAACCTTAATTCAATCATTATAAGTTTCGTCAGAAGCCAGTATTGCGACTGTTTCAGTGATATCATATATTAATTCATACTGTCCCATGACGCGTAATGTCGTTTCATCCTATCCCGTTTCAGGTCAGTCATGTAATGGGATGTCATGACCTGTGATGTGATGTCATGACATGTGATGTTATGTCATGCTGTCATGCCATATATATATACGTCACATCAAGCCACGTCATGTCAGTCCATTTCATATCATGTCATTTCCTTCCGAACCCATTTCAGGCAATATCATCCGAACCCATTTCAAGTAATGCAGAGCTAAGTCATGTCAAGTGTTGGTATCACATGCCATGCCTCGTCGTACTATGTCAAGTCATTTCATGTCAGTTATGCCATGTTTTGTCATACCATTCCTTGTCAGGTCATGTCCATCGATGCTATATCGTACAATGTTGTATCAATTATGTCATAAGTTTTATCTAATATGACGATATACCATAATATACCAGTTATGTGATTTTTGTCTTACCATTCCATGTCAGGTCATGTAAGTCTACAACATGTTATGTTAAGTCATATTATGTTATGTCATCCATTTTCACGAATTGAAATCTTGTCATGCTTTTTCGTGGGTGTCACAACATAGAATGTCATACCATGATGCATCAGCCACGTCCTGTTTTTTCATCCCTTTCCACGTCGGTTGATTATGTTATAATGATGCCACACCTTGTTAACTTAACCATACCACAGCAAGCAATTAGATGCCATAGCTAATAAGAATAAACCAAAAGGATCGGACGAGGCCACTATGGCAGACTCACCATTTATACCAACATCAACTTTCTCTGCCTCACAGAACCCTTGCTCTAGTAATCCCTGTTCTGCGATCCAGCGATGCCAAACAGAATTCACCCGCAAAGGTTATCGCTGTGTTTGCATAAATGGACACTTTGGAAGAGACTGCACTGAAGGTATGTTGCACTGACTGTGTCTAAAAATTATTCGTCCAATACAGATATCGAAGTTCAATTCAATTACCATACGATTCCATTTTTGTCTTTTTCTCGAGCGAAAAGAGGAAGACTCTTGACCTAAAAGAACCTAAGGCCACGCTTGGCAACCGAATGACATCCATAAGTCGTTTCCGATTTTTTCTCCTCCCTTCTCTAGTTTTTCTTTTTTTTTCAAAATAAACGTGTTTTTTCTTGTCTTTTGGAAACTGTAGCACCTCCATACGTGCAAGTGTTTCCCGATGTTATCGATACTGAAGAAGGAAAAACCACTTACGCGAGATGTAAAATTGTCAGTTTTCCTCCCCCACACTTGGTCACATGGAGCCGCTCTCAAGGAAGTCTTCCTTCCCATTTTCTATATAAAGAGTATTTATTCCTGAGATACGTCACTAAACAAGACAGTGGGTCGTATGTGTGTACTGCAACAAATACCTGGGGCACAGACTCATCCTCAGTTCAGCTGAGAGTCCACGCTCCCCTCAAGTTCACCATCAAACCTCCTCCGTTAGTGATAGTGAAGGCTTATGAGGTTCTTGTACTGCCGTGTTCTGCTTCAAGCTTTCTAACTCCAAGAATGTTTTGGACCTATAGCAAGACCTGGTCCTTGCCTAGTGGTGCAAGTGTTGATTCGTCAAATAATTTAACTCTTACATCTGCGAATTTCAATCATGTTGGTGTTTACACTTGCACTGCGTATAATGCAGTCAGAGTCATTCGAGCAAGAGTCACCGTTTATGTCAAGTATCCCGACACCTGCGCCAGAGTAAAGACAGACATCAGTGAAGTAAGTGGCTATTATATCATTGATCCTGACGGTGTTCTTGGCGAGGATCCATTTCTTGTTTATTGTAACATGAGTGATCAAGGAGGCGTTGGAGTGACAGTTGTCAGTCACGACAGTGAGGAAAGAATCCATGTCACAGGATACGACGCGCGTGGGAGCTACAGCCGTGACATTCACTACCGCTACAGCAACCTCTCACAGATCAAAAGACTGATAAACGTGTCAGGAAACTGCCATCAATTTATCAAATATGAATGCTATGGTGCTACATTAAGGCTGGGCTATATGAGTTGGTGGGTTTCACGTAATGGTCAGACCATGAGGTATTGGGGCGGAGCTTCTCAGGGATGCGCATGCGGAGTGACTAACTCCTGCGCCCGAATAGACAAGCCCTGTAATTGTGATAAAAATGATTTTGTTTGGCGGGAGGACAGTGGCTTTTTGACAATCAAATCTGACCTTCCTGTCATTCAGCTGAGATTCGGTGACACTGGTGATGCTAATGAGGAAGGATATCACACTCTAGGAAAACTGGAATGCTACTGATGAACTTGAAGTTATTTCATTAAATGAAATTTTCCTTAACTGTGAAACCGGTTTTGATCTTTACATACGTGGGCGAAAGATTTGGATGAAGTTGACTCGCCGCAAGTTTGACACCTTAAGGAATGGAAAACAAGAAACATTTTTGTGAACTTTTGCAATAATTTAACTTTTCCCTTAACCAGGAATGGTGGTTTAATTTCTGTCTTTAATTTTCTTGGAGCCATATCCACAAGGCATGTGTGAGAAGGCAATTACAACAAAATTTTCAAGTTTTGTTTGGAAGAGGTTGTCATGGAGAAAGAAATACCACTCGTCTATTTGCATACTTAACAAAAACATTTTTTTTCTTCGTTGTATTCCACAATTTAATTTTTAAATTTAACAAGCTATGAGCCATATTCTAAACACGCCCAAACTTCTCATTGGTCAAGAAACTTAAATTCTTGTTAGAGTAGACCTCAAGCCGCAGATTGCCAAGAAAAAAAGAAATGCCTCAAAATGACATTACCTAATTCTTTCAATTATTGGAGATATTTTTTTTTCTCGAACGGAGGACCCCTTGAATTATTAACTTAGTGTGCTTACTTAGATAGTTCTGGAAAAAGATTGTGTGTAGTTTGATATCAGATCTTTTATAAACACTTTTCGGCGCTCAGCGTAATGTCAGACTCGAAATCAAGAGAAGAAGAAGATCGCGTCGACTCGAGACCCCCTCAACAACTAGATGAGTTTGTTTCTTTGTTGTCCAAGGATCAACTCCCCGAGCTATGCTTGTTTCACCGTTAATTTCTTCCGAAACGCATGAAACTCAATCCTTTCTTGAACAAAATTTCATGCAATTTGGTGTAAATAGACATTTTCCGAGTTGCACAATTCTTCCTCTGTGAAACTGAGACTGGTGCAAAGCCTTTAATATTAACATAAATTTTGCGTTTTTTTCCAAATATGACTCCATCACATGAGAAAGGTCATCGTGATGAAAGCGAGGGTTTTCAAACTCACAATGGACCTATTGTTTTCATACTGGTATATTGGTATATTTGTTTATCTTTGTAGTAAGTTAATTTTCTGTTTTCTTTCTTCAACTACTCTCATTTCAGGTCGCATAAACAACTTGTTTTCAAACTGTGTGTAATTTGTCTTTTTTTCAATTATTTTCCTTGGAAATCAAACATTACGCGAACAGTTAACCAAGCGGAGTTTATGTTTTGGTGTTAAAAAAGTGAAGGTTTACTTTTCGTCTTAAAAATGAGGACCTTTACATTACTAATACAAACAGAAACATTAGTTTCAATATCATAGTCAATATCATACGAACGAAATTTTGAGTCGGTAGGACACCTGCTCACCAACTGAGTACTAAGCTTTGCTTGATAAAACGTCAATAATTTAAGCCAAAAGCATTAAAGAAGCGGGTCTTATTGACAAACAACAATTTCAAAATATTGACCATGCTTTTGAAACTTGACACACTTCCAAAAGTTATACATATATATTGATAGCAGGTGGTAAGCTTAATTATTTACTGCTGTAACGGCCGACAAAGCACTCAAACACGAGTCACTAAAGAAACGATTGTTTTTTTTTTTTTGCACTTTCTATGCAAGAGTGCGTCAAAAAAACTTTGCAAGATTATGGAAACGTTTCAAGTTCTGTTTCTACTTGCAACTTTGTGGAAAAGTTGCTTGGCGTCGAACAAAGGTGAGCGTGGGAGTTTTATGCCATGTGGAAATATTAATGCACCTAACTGTACATGTCGTTTATCATTAACTTATAACTTGGTGTTTGATCTTCATTTTCAAAGTTTTGAAACAGTGTGTCATTTTAGAAAATCACCATTAAATGCTAGCACAATATAGTGAAAAGACGTCACTTACAGCCTTGAGAACATGCACGCAAATCTGATTGAAGAATTTTACAAAGTGGTTAATCCTAGAATAATTTACACCTATTTGCCAAAATGTTGTCATAGAAAAAGGCAAACGAATGAAGGGAAAAAGCTAAATAGAAGTTTATCAGCATATAAAACTGATCTCTGGATACATTCTGAGCAGATGGAAATTTTTCACAGTGTTTTCACTGACAAACTTTTTGAGACTTCAGATGCTTGTTAGAAATTTCAAGCAATTTTGAAAATACAATATCAAACAAATGATTATGTGTGGACGCTGTATGCTTATGCTAATTGTTAACTAATTCAAGTTTGGCTTTTTTCGTTGTTGTTGCTTTTTTCATGTCAACCTTACATCATAGCCGTTTAATTTCTTCGCATCGTATTTCTGCGTTCATTTTAGGTGACACGAGTTTACTTAAACATAATCCGTTTCAAGAATTCTTTCTCAACCAACAATCAGTCATAAAAACTGCACTGAAACCCTAAAATTGTTGTTGTCGTAGATATAAAGCTCGTCCTCCCGCGAAATGAGTTTTTGGAATTTGTTGAAATATTAATTTCCCATGTCTTTGAGAAATACTCGAAGGTTTCGTTAAATCAGAGCAAAGAGAGATCTTTGGCGGACCAGAGCTTAGGTGTAAATTTGAACACCATGGCATCTTTCTTTTTTTGTTCTACTTTACGTGACTCACTAGTTAGGCTCGGCGCACGGAACTCTTTTATTTCATTCCCAGAGGATTGTCGGCTGGTGAAAATGAATCCTTCGGTCCACAACTTCTTCTTAGAGAGTCACGTGTTCAGAAGGCTAGAAATAGGATTGCCCAGCGCCTGTGAAGTGAACTGTTTTATGGATGCTGACTGCGTCTCGTACAACTGGAGACAGCCACAGGATCTCGACGGAAGGTATTTGTGTGAACTGAGTGATTCTACAGACAACATTCATCCCTTGGATGTCAAATTCGAAGAGGGAGCTGTTTATAAATCATTCCGGGTACGATGGTATTTTTTACTCTGTCATTATAAATAGTTCATTCGCCAGCATTACGTGTTCTACAAATATATTGCATAGTAAAGTACACGCTACCTTGAAATGTTCCGTCGAGTCATCTTAAAACCAAGTCCTACCATTCCATTTCAGGTCATTCATGTCACGTCGTGACATTTGGTGACGTGTTGTGTGACAAGGTGTCATATTACGTCATATTACGTCATGTCACTTTTGAGTTATTTAGAAAGAAAATAATAATAACTCTATGTTAGCGTGTAGAGTGGTATGTTGCTCGCACCAATCAGATCGCCGCATTTGGGTATTTATCTCGCACCAATCACATCACAGCATTTAGATATCTTGCACCCCCGCAGCGTTTAGGGTATGTATCTCGCACCCATCCTATCACAGCTTTCTTGCAAATGATGTCATAGAATCAGGGGCTGTGCACTTAGAATGACCTCACACGATATTACTTCATGTAACGTCATGTCAGGTAACCCATTCCATGTTATGAGATGTCATGCTTTGAAGTGTCATACCTGCGTATGTTATGCGCTGTCTCAAAATACCACAGAATACCACTAGATGCCATGTTACTTAACATAAACAACAAATAAAGGACAATAACATATTTTTTGTTGAATTATACACTTACACAATTGAAATATTTCTCTGCCTCACAGAACCCTTGTTCTAGTAATCCCTGTCCTGCTATCCGTCGATGTCAAACAGGATTCACCAGCAAAGGTTATCGCTGTGTTTGCAGAAATGGACTCTTTGGACAAAACTGCACCGAAGGTATATTACATCAATAGATTCGCATGTGTCCATAAAAATCATTTATGTTACATATATTATATCCGAGACTTACCATTTGCTCCTGGTCTTCTCTTTGGGTGAAACGAGGAAGACTCTAGCTCTTGCTCCTGGACTTTTGTGAAGGGGCCTAAGAGCCAGCTTAAGGCAACCGAATGATGTCCATAATATCGTTTCACTTGCTCTTCCTCTGTTTTCTCTCTTTTTTAGTAAACATGTCTCTTTTCTTTTGCAAATTATAGCACCTCCCTCTGTACAAGTGTTTCCTGATTTTATTGAGACTGAGAAAGGAAAAGACATCTCCATGAGATGTGCAATTTTCAGTATTCCCCCTCCGCGCCTAGTTGCATGGAGTAGGTCTCAAGGAGCTCTTCCTTCTCAAAGAAGTATCGTCCAAGGAGGAAATTTGACCTTGAAAAACGTCACTAAACAAGACAGTGGCTCATATGCGTGTACTGTAGCAAACATCTGGGGTACAAACACGTCCTCTGCTCATCTTAGCGTTTATTCAGCTCTCAAGTTCATTATCAAACCCCCATCGAATGTGACAGTGAGGGCGTATGAAGTTCTTCCTCTGCCATGTTCTGTTTCGAGCGATCTGACGCCAACGGTGTCTTGGATCTATGATGGAGCTATGTCATTACCTCCTGGTGCGAGTATTGATTCCTCCAATAACTTGATTGTTTCACCTGCTAACTTCACCCATGGTGGCACTTACACTTGTAATGCGACTACTGCGCGCAAATCCATTCAAACAAGTGTCACCGTCTATGTCAAGTACCCAGAAAACTGCGCCAGAGTGAAGGCAAACTTAATTGACGTCAGTGGTGACTACGTTATTGATCCAGACGGTGTTCTTGGCGAGGATCCATTCCCTGTTTATTGTAACATGACTCACAATGGAGGCGTTGGAGT